ATTTATAAGCTTTTTCTCTTAACAATTTGTATTTGTTTAATTGTTTCTCTTCTTTTAATTTACCTTAAATTTGTATTCCCATATGATTTTCATCTTCAGATTGCTATGGAAGAAGAGATTTTGAGAATGATTTCACCAGCAAAAGTAAGCATGAATGAAGAATCTTCAAATTCTAATTGTGGAATTCATATTTTCCATGCATGCAAATTCAAAGGGGTAGTACCACAACAAAACGGACACTGGGGTGCACAGATTTATGCAAACCATCAACGAATATGGCTCGGGACATTTAAATCAGAGATAGACGCGGCTATGGCGTACGATAGTGCGGCCATCAAACTCCGGGATGGAGAAACTCATCGAAATTTTCCATGGACAAGACTAAGTATTCAAGAACCAAAATTTCAGAGCCATTTCAGCACAGAAGCAATTCTGAACATGATAAGGGATGGATCATATCCATCCAAGTTTGCTGAATTTCTAAGGAGTCAAAAGAATGAAATCGAAATAGGCCTAAATCTTTCATCGCTACATGGGGACGGGGAATTTTCGTGCAGGCTACTTTTCCAAAAGGAATTAACACCAAGTGATGTTGGAAAGCTGAACAGGCTTGTAATTCCCAAAAAATATGCTGTTAAGTATTTCCAAAATGTTACTACAGAAGATGATGTAGAAAATGGAAGAGTTGATGAGGTGCAGCTTGAGTTTTATGATAGGCAGATGAGGTTATGGAAATTTCGGTATTGCTATTGGAAGAGCAGCCAAAGTTATGTTTTCACAAGAGGCTGGAATAGATTTGTGAGAGAAAAGGAATTAAGGGCTAATGATATTATAGCTTTCTACATGTATGAGAGTCGAGATAGGCATCAAGTTGGACAAACATTTTGTGTAATTGATGTGGCCAACAAAGGGGACTCAAGAAATGGCTTAACCGCTGCAGGGATGACAGATCTTCGTCTTGATTCAGGAACAAATGCAATTTATGAGTTAAATAAAGAAGTGGTTGAAGAATTTGAGGATCAAATGGAGTTTGTGGGGATAGATTCATCACCTAGCAGCACTGAGACAAAAAGTATCAAACTCTTTGGGGTCCTTATTAATACTTAACTTGAGATCTTCCCGTTTGTACTAATTTTATTTTATTTTTTCAGTTTTAATTTTGTGCATTTGAAGCAAAAATGTTTTCGTTTTAATGTTTTTAGCTTCATTCAATCTCAATGGTTCGTTAGACTCGTTGTACAAAAAGCTTCTNTGAAGCAAAAATGTTTTCGTTTTAATGTTTTTAGCTTCATTCAATCTCAATGGTTCGTTAGACTCGTTGTACAAAAAGCTTCTAGTGTATTGCAAGTGAAGGATTTTAACAGAAAAATATGTTAATAGACGGTCCAATCAGAAATTCAAACTTTATTAGAAAAAAAAAATGTATAGGGTGGGAATAAACAGTATAACAATTAACACCAACAAATAGATCTAATTTTCTGTAGTTATAAGCATATCGACTGAATAGTTTGAATGATGCCATGCAAGTTATAACTCGAATAGAAAAATAGTGAATTTTTTTGAGAAATTAAGTGATTACCATTGCCTCTCTTGAGGGTACATGTGGCTCTGGTGCTCCATAGTTGCACTTTTGATACCTCTCCAATGTTCTGAGCATACTGCATAAAACCAAAAACGTAATGGGGTCAGATAGGTATCCAGTACTGTGGAGTTTGTGGCACAATGGTGTGGAGTATTATTGCTGACTGGATTGATTTATTGAGCCATTGCCCGGAATACTTGACTCTTAGTTTCAGATTTATAAAGTGCGTCTTTTATATCTAGAAATGCGACTCATTTAAATTGATTTTATTGGATGCTTGAGATGATGCCAAGTGTCACTCCTATGACCATTGGACATGTGACCTTCTGGTTACTTCTTAAAGACGCTCCATTTGCTTGGGCTTGAGACATCAATTCATTCCTTCTCTCGTTTTCTGCCATTTGAGTTCCAGAAACTCTCTCGAATACTTTTTACATTTCTTGAGTGATCTGTAAATCTAAGAGCTTCTTTGTTCTTGTGTGAACGTTTATGTGTAGATCGAAAGGTGTTAAGATGTAATCTTGAGTGATTCAGCTTGAGTGCTTTGGTTGTGTACATTTCAGATGGTTCCATGGTTTCGATTTTTTAATACAAGTGGTTCTTCTGGTGGTGGAAGCTCAAAAGGGGATTAGGAACATTTTATGTTCTGAACCTCTTGCATTAGGGCGAAATATCTTGTATTCTTATTTTATTGCGATTATAATTTTTCTTGTTTTTGCACTTAATTTGTTGTTTGTAAATTGACTAATAATTGAACCCCATCTTAATAGTGGTATCAGAGCTATAAGACGGAGGTTCTTGGTCAGAATACGGTAGATCTGAAAGTTTGACACTGATTCGATAGTATTATTGCTATTTCTTGAAACCCCAGTAAAGGGATCTGGTGAGGTTGTTCTTCTTTCATTATTTATAGTAAAGAATATCTGTTTTCACTAAGAGTTCTGTTGAAACCATGTTTTGATATTTTGGATCTGAGACATCTTGGCAATACCTTTTTCCAAAAACCCTAAGAGTTGTCTGGAATCTGAGGGTTGTCATGATATAAGTCAAAGATCTGGATCTCTGAACATCCTGCATGTAATCTTGATTACTGTATCTATATTGTGTTGATTTGTACTTGTTCTTTGTGACCTTGTACCCCTCACAAGTTGAATTATTGTGTTTAATAAGCTGTTGTTATAGTACTAGACTTACTGTTACATATACTCTCGTGGTATCTTGGTGATCTGCATACACTGTCATATTCAAATTTTATCTTAATGACTTCTACAAAATTTGAATTGGACATTTTCAATGGCAAAGGAGAGTTTAGTCTCTGGCACCAAAAAATGAGAGCTATTTTACTGCAAAAAAATGTGCTAAAGCCATTGATGAGTCATGGTCCGATGATTTAGAAGAAAACAAGAAAATTAAACTTGATGAAACTGCATGGAGCTCTATTTTTCTGCATCTATCTGATAATGTTCTTAGAGAAATTGGTGAAACAAAAACTGCTGCTGAGTTGTGAAAAAAACTAGAAGATACATATTTGAATAAGACTATGCCTAACAATGCTTATCTTCTGAAACAATTTTTTGGTTTCAAACTTGACCCAACTTTGGATCTTGAAGTTAACATTGATAGATTCAATAGATTATCCTGTGACTTAGCCAACTGTGATGAGAAACTCTCAAAAAATAGTTGGCTGTGGTCTTATTGAACTCAATTGGTGATAAATACAAAAATGTTAAAAATGTTATTGAGTATGGGAGGGAAACTCTAACTACAGATGTGATAATTAATGCTCTAAAAAACAAAGAGTTAGAATTGAAATCTGAAAGAAAAGAATCTAATAATGGGGAAAGCTTAATGGTAAAATCCAAACCTCATCATAAGAATGTTAACCTCAATAAGAAATTTGGACACTAAAAGAAAGGAAACTTTAAAGACAAAATGAAAGTAAAGACAAAAGGTAAGAAATGTTTTTACTGTCAAGAAGATGGTCATTTTATTAAAGATTGTCCCAAAAGACTTAGAGAATTAAAGAATAAGTCTAAAATCAATGGTGATGCAACCTTGGCCTATAATGATGAGGCTAATATAAATGAAGTCTATGTTGTGACAAACAGTCCTCTTATTCAAGAATGGATTCTTGACTCTGGCTGCACATATCATGTCTCCTAATAGAGAGTGGTTTACTGACTTTGAAAATGTAACTGGTGGCCAAGTATTAATGGGTAATCATGTGACTTGTCAGGTCAAAGGAATAGGAACTGTCACCTTAAGAGTAAAAGGAAATAATAAACTTGTATTAAAGGGGACTAGATTTGTACCTGGCCTACAAAGAAACCTTATCTCTTTAGGTGTCCTTGATGACTTGAAATATCACATTGTGATCAATATGGGATATATTAAAATCTTGAGGGGTCTTAGTTGATGATAGAAGCCCCCAAGAGACATGGTCTTTACATTTTACAAACTCAAGATTTTATTGAATCTACTTCATCAGCAATTTCTGTTCAAAATGATATGTCACAAATATGACATAAAAGGTTAGGCCATATAAGTGACAAAGAGTTGCAGATTCTGAAAAAACAAGGTGATTTTGGGAAGGACAAAGTTGAAAAACTCAATTTTTGTGATCATTGCATTCTAGGAAAGCATAATAGACTTCCATTTTTACCTGGGATGCATAAATCTGTGACTATACTTGAATACTTGCATGCTAACATTTAGGGACCAAATATGTGCCTACTCATACTGGTTGTAAGTATTTTCTTCTGATTGTTGATGATTACTCTAGAAAAAATTGGATTTTTCTCCTAAAAGCAAAATCTAACACATTTAATTCTTTCAAAGAGTGGAAAATACTTATTGAAAATCAAACTGAGAAAGAGATTAAAGTTTTAAGAACAGACAATGGCTTAGAATTCTGTAACTTTGGATTTGATGAGTTGTGCGAAATGCAAAGAATAATGAGACATAGAATAGTAACACACACCCCGCAACAAAATGGCTTAACTGAGAGAATGAACAGAACTATTCTTGAAAAGATTAGATGTATGCTTAAATTCTGGTCTTCCTAAGATATTTTGGGGGGAAGCAGCAAAAACGGCCAGTTACTTAATCAATAGATGCCCTGCTAGTGCTATACAATTTAAGACTCCTGAACAAGTGGGGACTAGAAAACTAGTTGACCTCAGTAATTTGAAAGTGTTAGGATGTGCAGCTTTTGCACACCAATCTAAGGGAAAGTTAGAGCCTAGGGCATTTAAGTGTGTTTTCTTGGGCTATGGTCAAGGAGTTGAAGGGTATAGGCTATGGGTTAAGGAAACCAAAGGGTATAAGATCATCATAAGTAGAAATGTTGTATTTAATGAGGATGATTTCCCTTGTTTGAAAGGGGTAGTGAATTCAAATGCGTCTAATCAGGATAAAAGTATAGAAAGAAGGTCTGAAATTGAGGTGGAGCAGGTTAGAGATGAAATACAACAACCTGAACCTCGGTCTGAAAATGAAAACAATGAAATACCTGAGAATGAAGATTCTGAAATTAATACTGAAAATGATTTGGGAGCAAATCAACCCCTTGCTGATTACCTTTTCGCTAGAGATAGACAAAGAAGGGAAGTCAGACCACCGGTCAAATTTGATGATGAAGCATCATTTCTGCCCTTTCAAGGTTTCATTGAAAATGAAGCTGATTCTTTTGAAGATGCAATAAAGAGTAAAAAGGCCTAAAGGAAAGACTATTATAGATTGGTAAAAAGGCCTTTAAAATTAAAAAGGGGGGAAATGATGAAAATGATGTTAAATACAAGGTCAGACTTGTGGCTAAGGGTTTTGCTAAAAAAGAAGGGATAGATTTTAATGAGATTTTCTCTACTGTAGTAAAGTTTACTACTGTTAGAGTAATTCTAGCCTTGGCTACTCAGTTTAATTGGGAATTAGACCAACTGAATGTAAAAATAGCCTTTCTAAATGGTGATCTAGATGAAACTATCTATATGGAACAACCTAAAGACTATGAAACAAATAAAAATTCGGACCTTGTATGCTTTCTTAAGAAATCCCTTTATGGCTTGAAGCAAGTCCCAAGACAATGGTATAAGAGGTTTGATACCTTTATACTTGAACTTAGCTTCAAGAGGAGTAATTTTGACACATGCCTTTATTGTAAGGGAAGTGGATGTGAAAATTCTCTCTATCTTCTACTCTATGTAGATGGCATGCTCCTTGCTAGCAATGATATAGATGAAATTGAATAAATCAAATGTAAGCTAAAATCTAAATTTGAAATGAAGGACTTAGGTCCTGCTAGAAAGATTTTGGGGATTGAAGTTAAAAGGAATAGGAGAGATGGCATATTGTATCTTTGTAAAAAAAATCATATATTCTGAAATTGCTAGAAAAATTTTCTATGCTTGAGTCTAAGAGTGTAAGTTTGCCACTTACTAATCACTTTAAACTTTCTAGTGACTTATGTCCCAAATCTGAAGAAGAGTTTAAAAGAATGTCTAATGCTCCTTATGCTAATGCTGTAGGCTCTGTCATATATTTAATGATCTGCTCCAGACCTGATTTGGCTTATTCAATAAGTATCTTGAGCAGATATATGTCTAATCCTGAAGAAACTCATTGGGAAGCCATGAAATGGCTTCTCAGATATATACAAGGAACATGTGGATTAGGGATTCAATTTAAAAAACAACTTGAGGGTATTGTTCTTAGAGGATACACAGATTCAGGCTATGCTGGTGATAGAGACCATAGAAAATCAACCTCTGCATATGTGTATACTCTATGTAATTCATGTGTAAGCTAGAAATCCCAACTACAAAAAATTGTGGCTCTTTCATCTACTAAAGCTGAATATATTGCTGCAACTGATGCCATAAAAGAAGGAATTTGGTTAAAAGGATTGTTAAATGAATTTGGTTTCATTAAAGATGTTGTTCTTTTATCTGACAGTCAATTAGCCATTCATTTAAGCAGAAACCCTATTTTACACAATAGGTCAAAATATGTTGATGTTAGATTTCATTTCATAAGAGATGTTACTTCACAAGGATTCGTGAAATTTGAAAAAATTTCTACTCATTTTAACCCGGCTGATAATGGTGCCAAAGTGCTGCCTTTAAATAAATTTCAGGATTGTTTAAGTCGGCTTAACATTGACAATTGTTGATTGTGTAATAGGTAACCGGGCAAATGATGTCATGTCTTGAAAAACCATTGTAAGCAGAAACCTGAATCATTGTACCAAGGTAGAGACTGTGGAGCTTGTGGCACAATGATGTGGAGTATTATTGCCGACTGGATTGATTTATTGAGCCATTGACTGGAATATTTGACTCTTAGTTTTAGATTTATAAAGTGCGCCTTTTATCTGAAAATGCAACTCATTTAAATTGATTTTATTGGATGCCTGAGATGATGCCAAGTGTCACTCCTATGACCATTGGATATGTGACCTTATGGTGACTTCTTAAAAACGCTCCATTTGCTAGGGCTTGAGACATCGATTCATTCCTCTCTTGTTTTCTGCCTTTTGAGTTCCAAAAACTCTCTCGAATACTTTTTCCATTTCTTGAGTGATCTGTAAATCTGAGAGCTTCTTTGTTCTTGTGTGAACGTTTATGTGTAGATCGAAAGGTGTTATGAAGTAATCTTGAGTGCCTTGGTTGTGTACATTTCAGATGGTTCCATGATTTCGGTTTCTTAATACAAGTGGTTCTTCTGGTGGTGGAAGCTCAAAAGGGGATTAAGAACATTTTATGTTCTGAACCTCTTGCTTTAGGGCAAAATATCTTGTATTCTTATTTTACTGCGATTATAATTTTTCTTATTTCTGCACTTAATTTGTTGTTTGTAAATTGAATAATAATTGAACCCCATCTTAACAAGTACGAAATAAAATAATGGGAACATTTGAGTGTAATTCATTGAAACACAATGAAGGATGAAACTAAGATGTCAAGTTAAGATTCTAAAACGGAGATGTAGACCATCCTATGCTGATTGTGAGAATTTGAGAACAGCCTAATAGAGAAAAGTCAAATAATTTGAGCCTCTCCGAAAATTTCCAAATTTCATATTTGAGATTCTAATCTTGTGGGGGTGTTGGGGGGGGTGGAGATTGATGTTGAAATGAGTGTTTAATCTTTTACATTGGTCTAGCTAAAGCTAATAAATCCCAAGCTTATGATAGATCATCACTATAATAATTAAGTCTCCCACTCTTATGACCTGCGGTTCCTGGCTTGTGAGATACCCTAATCCGTGTGTGTATTCATGGCTCATACAAATATCCACAAGTAATTATGCAGCTAATTATGAGTACTCACAGCTTTCAATGTCAGGAACATGAAGTAACATGTACAGATAACCATGAGATGAACTCAAAGACTTTTCTGGTAACTGGATAGAAGACTACCTTTCACTATACCGACACACACAAAATTTATGAATTGTCAGATTTGAGCTGATTAATGGACTCATAAAAGTGTCTCATTAGAGTAAGAAAAAAGAGGGAAAATAAATTATTATTCAATGAGAATAATTGATTTTTAAGCAAGATCTACACTTCCCAAACCAAAGCCTAATCACAAGAAAAATAAAATCGCAGAGTTTATAAATAGTAGAACCCCCTCCACCAAACACACAGAAACACACAGCTTCAGCTTGCTGATAGTTTCCTTAGCTTGAAAAGCTCTGATTATAATTTCAATGGAAGTCTTGTGAAGAAGAGAATTATAGAGCAAATAAAGACAAAAAGGAAAAAAAATTGAAAACCCTAGAATTTAAAATCTTGAGGCAAAACATAATCAATTCTTTCTTGATTAATAATAAAATTGGCTTAAAGAAAATCAATAAAAATATTAACAAGATCAGATTCAAAATCAACCCTTTTTAGGGTAACAAATAAAACAAGAACAGAATTTTGAAAAACTTGAAAATTAGCCAGATCGACCAAGAGATGAACTATCAAAACATAAGATCTGATCTAAATTAGTGAGATATGAAAGCCAAAAAATTCTGATATTTAAATATGTCAAAGGAGAAAAAGGCTTAAATGCAAGGTGCAAAAAACTCAAGATAAATATAGAAATGATCTTCTTTTATGATTTTCCTCTTGCAGATCTAACAAAACCAACAAGCACAGAGTCCTATACACTCCAAACATTTCACTAAAATGGCAAGAACTCTTCCAACATTGAAAAAGATAATTTGCTTTTACCTATTTACATCAAAAAAATTCAAATTTAGTCTCAAAACACCCAAAAAATAGAATCTTTAATACAATTTAAACAATAAAAAACAGTTCCCATGTTAAATGAACAAGGATATATAAATATATGCGTGTATATATATTAATACCTAGAGCTGCTGCAAAATTCGTATAGTTTTCCTCTATTGGAGAAGATGATCAGAGCTACTTCAGCATCACAAAGAACAGAAAGTTCATAAGCTTTTTTCAACAATCCATTCCTTCTTTTGGCAAAGGTGACTTGCCTATTGATCTTGTTCTCTATTCTCTTCAGTTCTACTCTCCCTCTCCCCATTCTCTCTCTCTCTCTCTCTCTCTCTCTCTCAAAAATCTCACAGAAACACAATTCTTATCGGTGTGTTTCTTGTAACACTGCCTTTAAATGTACTTATAACGATAGATGCACGTGGTGATTTATACAGAAAGAATACTAGTAGTAGCATATGCTAGCATCCCATGAACTGATTTGATAAACTCTTTTATTTATTTATTCTTTGTGCTCAAAGTTTATCTTTAGAGACAAGTATGCTTTACACAGTCCAATGGTAAAATGTCACGTGACATTATGTCAATCATTGTGTGATTGTAGTATGATTATTTGTTAATAAATAGGGGTCGACAATTTAACTGGTGCTGAACCTTTCAAATCAAATTGGAGGTTTTGAAATCGAAACCGTGGACATTGACTCTAGAATCGAATTTGTCATTAAGTTTTTCATTTTTACAATTTATTCATCCTGACCAAATGATCCGGACCAAGAAGTGGCAAGTTTGCAAGGTCGAAATAGTAAGTATCATAATCAATGGGATTCAATCATTTGAATAACTGAATCATTTAACTCTAACTCGTAGTTATTTTTTACCGCCATCCACAATCTTTCTAAGGCATCGCATAGAGAGCCATAGTCGTAATTGAATGGTGTTATGATAGATATTTGATGCTATTTGGTAGCATATTTGCAGTTGATTAAGAAATGTTGAAATATGTGTTTTGTAGTATATTTTATTTTCTTCTAGTTCTGCTAGTTCTTGAAAAACTAATTCATATTGTGAGTTTATGATTTTTTTAAATGTCATGGGTAAAATCGAACTCAAACTTGAACCCGAATTAATCAATAATAATGTGGACCACGAATTATTTCATTTTCAGAATATCCGAGGTAATGAATGATTTCGAATATTGAAATACCCACCAAATGTCTAGGCATATTAGCAACTTTGAAAATTATGATTTAGTAAATAAATAATATAAAAATAAATTCAACTATTTTGAAGCACGGTTTGTAATGACAGTGAAAAGAATGTGTGAACATATTGTTATAAGATAAGATGATGAAGACAAGAGGCTAATGGTAGAAAAATTAATGTTTTAAAAGTCGATTTTAAAAGAAGTCAAAAGTCAAAGGTCAAGTATCAAAAAGTTGGACCAAAAAATTGGTATTGAATTTCAAATTTAAACCTAATAAACTGTACCAATGCTAGGTGCCACGTGTCAACAAATGAAGTGATCCGAGGCTGAATATGTATTTACGAGGATAATCGATGGACCAATTCTTAGAGAAGCTCAACTGTGTTTGATTACAAGGTTTTTACAAAAGTGTCTCTAAAGAACTTCTCTCAATAATGGACCGGTGGATGGACCACTTTACCTTCTACTGTCCTTTTTGAACTTAAAGAACATAAGTTATTGTAGGATACGTGTAAAAGCGTAGGTATAAATATTCGATGTGTGCTTTCGCATCGAAATACATCCAGTTGTACATGCGGTATTACTAGTTAATGTAAACTTTGAATTTGTCGTGTATTATCTTAAACTTTGAATTTATTAACTCAAAAATGAGATTAAGTTCCATCTATGCGAATATTTCCTTCATTATTAGTCGCTTTGTGAAACCGACGAAGATTCTTATTCCACTAGATTAGTTATAGAGCAAGATACAAATATAGTTGGATTGAATTTGACAATAGTATATGGTACCTAACTTCTTGGTATACTCTCTGGGATAACTTTATTTAGCTTGAAAACTCATTGGAACATGTCTATATTTCAATATTCCATATAATGTCCTCTCCAATATTATTAGAGATTTTTATTTTTAGATTTATGGGGGTATATGTATACGATGAATATTAATTTTGCTCTATATAAAAGTGTAATAATCACAAAGTTGTCAAGAATTTATAAAAGATAATTGCCCAATAAAGTACTTAGCAGAATATATGCCAACAAATATTATTAGCAATATGTTGACTGTTCTTTTGAGTACATAGTCAAATGTACATATGTATACTGCATCGAACTTCAGCCCCTTCGAGTTGACCAAGACCTGGATAACTACTACAAGTACATTTCTTTTATGCCCCCTTTTGTCCCCGAAGGGGCATAGTATTATATACAAATTGTGAAGCAATCAGTTGTAGGAATTATCCTCTTTAGACCATAAGAATCATAAAAAATGAAATTGAAGTGGTTAAGATTTAAGCAAAAGCCACGTGTCATACGTGATCGTACACAAAGTTAATCTAGCATTGTTCTTAACTAGATTTTAGGAGAAAAAGAAGTGAAATAAAAATCTGAGTGTTTCGCGCGGGTTAAGTCGCTAACAATTAAAAAGGATCAGACGATTGTGTAAGGGACGAAACCTCTTGAAACAAAGTCCCAAAAAGGGGTGTTCTTTTATTGGCGATGAACTTTACAATTGGAAATGGAAAACAACGTGCCTCCAAGGAGCGCAAGCACACGAGTTACTGAAAGAAAATTGTTTAAATCTAAAAACTAAGGAAATGAAAATTACATGTTCTCTGTTTGAGAGTTTTGGATTCGGTCCTTTGCTTCTATGTTCTTTCTCCCTTTTATACTTCAAAGACGATCTTTTTGTGATTAACTGCTCTAAAAACTGCTTGATCGTCCTATAACTACCCACTTTCTTCGTAGTGGCCATTTTATCATGAAAACTGCCTTTTAACTGTTGTCATTATTTTTCATCGTTCAACCGCTTTCGATTGAATTCCTTGAGTCGTGGAACGTGATAGGGCTGCTTTAACAACTGCCTTGATAACTGCATTTCTTGATAACCACGACGCGTTATGTCTGTTGATACCTTGGGCGACTTGAAGGTTTGGGTGAGAATAGAATAACAGTTCTGGGCGACCGTATGACACTCTATTCGTTCAGATTCTGGGCGACTTGCAAACTTGGGCGATGGCGTTACAGCAGTCTTTGGCCCCCTTATTTGGGCCTTCACCTTGATTTGTTCAATTGGACTTCGCTCTTTGAGCTATCTGATTTGGGGATCCTCCAATTGGGCTTTACTCCTTGGGCCGTTCGATTTGGGCTGAATTTTTATGTGTCAACAATTACCCCACAATATGGCAGAATTAATAATAATTATTGAATTTTGCCATATTCACTTTGTGTTCCCAGCAACGTTCGAAATTTTCAAGAATTTCAATCATTGTTTCCTTCTATAACTTGAAAAGGTGCGTCGTTTTGCAAACCCTTATAAACCCCAAACACGCCATTTCACTGCTACCAAACCACGCCTCATATTTTTTGCATCTCTTTCACGATTCACTGTTCATCTTTTGCTTCCTTGTTACGTAACTCTGAAAAGTTTCGTTCCTTCTCCAATGGCTGCTTCACAATCTCAAGCTAGCGACTCCTTTAGTTTTGACGACTTTCAGAAACTTCTGAGTCGCCCATACATAACCCCAAGTTTTCTCGCGCCCGCCGACGTTGGACTTAATGAGTTTTACTTGGGTCCTTGCACTCACGGCCCTCCTTTCCTGAACTCTCTGCCGCTGGGGCCACTTCGCGAAAGAAGTATTCGCACTTGGCCTAAATCTGATATAACTTTTCGTAGGTGGCATGCTCGCCTTGTGGGTCATGGTCCTACTAAGGCACTTTTTGATAGCGCTAGGATTTCTGATTTGTTAGAAGTCTCTATTCGCCCCCTTACTTTTGATTTAGCACTCTTTTCGATTGCCTTGAGTTTTTGGTCCCCTGAGTATAACACCTTTATTTTTCCTCTTGGCCCCATGTCTATTACGTTAAGAGATGTTGGGGCCCTGGAGAGTCTACCACCTTTGGGCGATACCATTTTCCCAGGTATCTTAGTTTCTGGTGGTGCCCCAAAATTTGGTAAAAACTATACCGACTCTTATTCAAGCCTGCAGACCCTTCACAATCATTCGAGTGCTGAGCCTACCCATACTGAGCGAGTGGCCTTCTTTTTAGTTTGGCTTTGTAAATATGTTTTATGCATGCCAAATATAAAGCCTTCTCTGAGTTATTTACCCATAGCGCACGAACATGGCAGGCCTTTGAATTTATGTTCTTTGTTTTTTGCTGCCCTTTATAGAGGCATGGCCTTTCTTCAAGCTCAATTGAAGAATGGTGCATCTCCCACTGGCAGTGGACCTCTTTGGTTTACTCAACTGTGGTTGAGATCCTATTTTCCATCGCTTGGTGCTCCATCCATTTCTTGTCCTTCTGCTAGCTGTTACGGGCTAGCTATGGAGCCCCTAACTCCTGTAAATATGTTCATAAGGGACATTTTTTCTTTCTTCTATTCTTTAGATTCAATCTCTTCATTTTTTCCTTTCCCTCCTTTCTTGACTCCAAACTATGTACATCCCCCTTCCACTATAGATAGCGCGAGCACCTCCCTGCTCATTTGGATCCAGTTTTTAACCGGGAGGGAGCTTTTCCATGATATCTTAACTGGGACCAATGCCAAAGCGGGGGTAGAAATTTATGCTCCCCAATTTTTTGCTCGTCAGCTTGGTTTTGGCCAAACTTGGCCTGTTCCCCTTTGCTATTCGAAGAACTTAATTGACCGTTTTCATACCATTAATAAAGCGGAAGCAGAGGCTATAAACGCTCGCAACCTCCATTTATCAAGCCACTTTTCATTAGCCCCTTTTAATTCTTGTCATGCCACTCACCCTCTTTTTGAACAACTCTGGCCATCGGTGAAGCGCAGATTATTTGCGACTGAGGCCAATCGTGCCTTTCATTTATTAGAGCAACCGAGTATTTCTTCTCCTCCTCCTGTTTTGGTCAATCCTTTGTCTATTCGGAGCCCCTCTCCTTCTCGTCGCACTAAACAATCTGCTCGTCCATCTTCTTCTCTCCCTGCCAGGCCTACTACGGCCAAGAGTGCTCCAAGCCGCAAACGGCCAGCCTCAGCATCTCCCATTCTGGAGGAAGATGTTGATGATGATGATGATGATGATGCCCCTCTTATCGTCAGGAGGAAGGTAATTAAATTGGTCTATTTACAAGTATGCTTTTCCACATTTGAAACTTTTCTGTGTACTGATGATCTTTTGGACTTTTTCAGAAAAGCTCAGCCTCTCCTTCAAAGGCTTTGGCATCGACAACTCCTGCTCCATCATCCTCTACTGAGGCTACTTCATCCAAACCGGTTGATAAGGGGACCATGCTTAAAGATGCATTTT